GCGAGTAAGAAGAGTGAAAGAGAGTTGAGTGAGAAAAGAGAGTAAGGGGGAGAAAAGGAAGAAGAGAAAGGGGTCTCACATATCATTAAACTTTTTCAGTTCTCACCCAAAATAGCAGTATTTTAATTTAATATTATTATTCTTATGCTTTTATTATATTATAAATTCTTCTATAATAAAATAGTAAAAATATTCTTTCTTCATTTAAAAAAAAAAATGTTGAACGTGCAAATAAAGTAAATTAAAACATGTTATATATAGCTGTGATTATATATCAGTGATATTCCAAACAAGTGGTGCATCGTTCAGATCCACAAAATCATATTCCTGTCCTTCATAGGTTTGCCTTGTCATCATCCACTGCATTTAAATCAATTTAAAGCTGCGAGTTCATGCTCAAATTGAGTTTGTTATTATGATTGATTGCACAATGATGAAACCAAGAGGACAAAAGGTTGTTTCCAGTAACATTGCGCAATTTCATGAAAGGGAGCTTTCCGAGTGGATACTTGAAGATATCATCATTCCACTTCCAGCAACAATCAATTCCTCCACTGTAACCCATCAATATTTCCTTTTATTTTTTTTAAAAATATAATGATAGTATTTGAATTTTTGTATTATAATTTAACTCTATGCATAGAGTCAAGAATTAAATCTACAGTGTGTATTTCGTTTAAGATCTTGAATGAGTGGATAATTTTGTTATATGAAGAAGAATTTTTTTTTTTTTTTTATCAATAATGACATTAAATTTATGATATGAAATACACAAATATTTCAAATCTTGTTATTTGATAATAATACAAATTTTATGATTTAAAAGTATACTATTGAAGACTTTTTAATGCAATAAGGTTTTGGTCAAATTTGGAAAGATAAAAACCTGACTACTATCACTACAAGAGAATGGACTCAAATCTAAAAAGAAGCTTGTGAGTACAATTCAATTTCTTTCTCGTGAGATCTAGTGCCATGTATTAAAAGAGACAATACCATAAGTCTTGTGAGAGAAGCTCAAGAACATGTATGTGTTCAAGTTGCTAATTAATTGTTTATGTTTGAAGATGAAGTTGATAGAAACAATGGCTATATCTAAAAGAGGGAAGGGGTGAATGAGATCTCTAAAAAAAATTAGTTGAAAACTTTCTTGAAAATTACTTTTTCTTTATTTTTTGATTGACCCAATTGAATTAGCCTTAGATGGGATGAAATGCTAAAATTTGAATATGTAATATGATTTTATGACACCCTATATGATATGCTCTTAACCAAGATCAAACAGATTAATTATCAATTTATCAAGAATAACAATCAAGAAAGTAAAAGATAGGTTAAGAAGAAACTTAGACAAAACTTTAACAATATGTTTTAATTCCTTTTAGCGATTTGTTTCCTTTTTCAAATTAGGATGATGATAGTATTTGAATAATGTATTATAGTTTAACTCTCTACATATAGAGTTAAGAAATAAAATCCTAATGTGTGTTTCACGTGTGTGCTAGGATCAAATTATTCCAAAAGTAAAGAGATCAAGTTACTCTAAGAGTAATTATTAGTAAAGTTACTTCACTCAAACAATATACATTGAATTTAATAATTCAGTTGTTAGATTAGTTCTTATTGAATAGAACAAGATACAAACTTTTTTATAAAATTTGAAACTATTTGACACTTTATTTCATAAATTCAAGTTAATGACTACGAATGTACAATAATTTAAATTTATGTAAAAAAAATCAAATAACTTTTAGATTTTATAAAATTTTAAAAACTTGATTATTAAATTTTTTTTAAATTTAACAATTAGATCATTAAAATTCAATATATAATGTGAGTTATCAAATTTAGTAACTTTACTGAAAATTACTCATCCATTAGTTATATATATATATATATATATATATATATGAGACAAAGAGTTACATGTATTATATAAAATTAAATATGTTTTTAATTCTTAAATTTTATAAACTTTTATTTTTAATCCTTAAATAAATTTTATTTGGTTGTAGTCCATAAAATATTTTTTTTTATGAAAAAAAATTTATTGCAAGACCAAAATGTTACCAAAAGAAAGAGTTAAAAAATTGAAAATTGTTTAAAAATTAAAATTAATAAAAAAAATATATTAAGAGACTAAAATTAAAAATTGTCAAAATATATTAAAAAGAATCGGATTGACAAGTTCATTGTACTTATGCAAAAGATGAGAACAATGTCATATGTCTAGCAATAATTTAGACATAGGATGTTGAAAGTTGAAAGTTGTAAGAATACAATAGGTGGTGCAGTGTTAACCAACCTCACGGGTAACCATATGAAATTGACCCTCTCACTCAACTGTGGACCCATTTACTCCAAACACACCTATCCAAATTGCACACTTGCTGCATCATGCACAAACCCTATTCTTCAGCTACCACAATTTTTTTAACATTAAAGCTTAAATACTCCAAAATTTATTCATGCAACGAGCTCAATGCTCAATGTTTCAATTTAGATATTCACCTCCTTCATTCATTTCCTTTTAATTATGATGTATGCCTTAGGTGGCAGTGTTAATATTTTACAATTTTTAATCTTCTACATTTTAGATTTGGGAGTTTTACTTTTAAATAAATAAATGATATTTTTTTATTATTTAAAACTTTTTTGAGGAGTTATCACTTGTCATGTCATTGAAAAACTCTCTCCATCCACTTCTTTCTTGGCATTGTCCTCTCTTATAATGCTATCTACTATATATATTAATATTATTTTTTTGTTTATTTTGAGTTTTTACTAGAAAACAAGAGTTGACCCGAAACAAGTGGGGGTGATACTAAAGAAAAAGGAAAATGATAACAAAATATTTAGGGATTTTTAATTATTCTCTTCTAGTATATTTTGTTTCAAAGTCCTGTATAGGATGTTCAGGATTGGGTTTATTAGAGTATAGACAAGTGATTGTAATTTTTTTTTTATAGTTATATTATGACCTTTATTAATTATATATAAAAATATTCTATAAGAAAACCAAATCTCATAACAAAATGCTAATTGTATAAATTACCATTTGCCATGGTGCTTTCTATTCATATTTAATGTTTGATGTGGATGTATCCTTGTTGAAAAAGACAAAAAATTAGTTTGTTTTCTATATACTATATTTGACAACAACAAAATCAAGATTTGTTTTTAGTTATTTCAATATTTTTTAAGAGAAAATTAAAAAAAATTGCTCATTTTTAGAAAGAGTAGTGTGTTAATAAAGTAGAACTTGAATAGTATTTTATAACAAAATTTAACATACTCTTGCTTGTTTTTCAAAGAGTGTGATATCAAGTTATATCTTTAAGATTATTTTTAACAAATTTATATAAAATTTTGCATCGAGGATAAATTTAATAAATAAAACTTGAGTATTTTGTGGCCAAGTGGTCTTGCCAAAAATAAATTAATGAAGTTTTTTGTTTATATTGATTCCGACTCGTGCATGACAGTGAACATAGGAGGAATGGAGTAAATGCAGTTGCCATGTTGGAACGACAATCCACGAATAATCAATTATATTATAATTGTAACAATTTTGAAAAAAATTATAGAGATAATCTAAGGCTTAAAAATAAACACAATATATGAATTTATATAGGGTAAAATGTAATTTTAGTCTCTTATTTTTATTTTAGATTTCAGTTTGATATCTTAACTTTAAAATTTTTTAATTTAATCCTTTAATATCTCTGTTAAATCAAGCTAATTTTTCCATCAATATATCTAATTAATTTGGTTAATTTAGTGACATGTAACAAATTATGAGGATGCCACGATTTCTGAAACTAATACTGTTAGTATAAAAAAATTGATGGACGGACTAATTTGACTAATAAAAATAGTTTAAAGGATTAAAGTGAAACTTTTTAAAAATGAATGACCAAACCGAAACTTAAAATAAAAATAAAAGACCAAAATTCTATTTTAGTTATTTATATATAAATTTATACCAAGATCACAAAGTCCTTTTTGATTCTTGTTTTTAAGAATCACATTAATAATACTTGAAATATGAAAAAATATATATTACTCAAATCTCTTCTACTAAACTGATTTCAGTTTTTAAGATTGTTAGAGCATCTCCAATGGGAGTTGCTTAACCAATGGGAGTTGCTTATAAGCAACCCCATTGAAGATGCTCTTAGCAAAATATTAGGAGGAATATTTTGATTATGTTAGGAAGGATTTGATTATGTTAAATATCTTGATTATAGTTTTGTTTTTCTTTTTTAAGCTTAGTTTCACTTATATATATTTAGATGGTATCCTTGTTTATTGACATAAATTAGAATATATACAGTCTTAAATCCAATATTTCTAATGCCAACTAATATATCGAAGTTGAACCAGCACAAAGATAAGTATTATATAACATGAATATTTTTTGACCAGTATATATAAAATGAATATATGAATTAAGGTGTGTTTAAAACAATTTATATAATTTATAAATATGAACTGTTTCCACACCAAACAAAAAGCCTTTACAATAGAGACGACTAAAACTCAATTATTCATAAAACTATAGCGGCCCAGTTTTTGTGTTAGCGAAGATTCCATAGTCAATTATTACTTATCATGACACTGCATTACATTTTTTTTATCTTTTTCATATACCAAATATAACATCCAATTAACAAGAAGACACTAATTCATTTTTTAAAATTTACGCAATATCCTACTGTAGATAACTAGAGACTAATTTATAAGTATTGATTAAACATGATTTTAATACTAACAGAGAAATCGATAATAGACTAATAATTCCTTTTAACATATAAAAATCACGTCAACAAAGTGTTATTAATGGAACCATGCTCAAAGAATCCGGCTATAGATGAGGCTAATAAGTATTAAATTTATGAAACAAGATTGAAGCATGTGGAAGTATATATGATGGAAATTGAGTGTGCCCGTGACATGGTGCAGAGAGAGGAGTGTGACACAAAAGAACAATTCAATCCCAATAATGTAGTAACATATGATTCTCTCCCATAAAACAAGGTCATCAATTTCAAACCCCACAACCTCACACACGGAGCACCGTAACCAATATCGTAAAAATATATTAATCAAAGTTCACAAGCACCACCTCCATGTGAACCCACCACCATGGACAACTCTCTCTCTCCTATATAACTTCATTTCATACACACACACACAAGTGAACAAACAAAGTACGTTCTTATTATCCCTCTCATTCTGAGCTTTGGGACCTCAAAATAGATTATGGCTTTCAAAGTCAAAACCTTGCTTTTGCTCTCTTTCTTTAGCCTGGCTCTGCTTGTGTCCTTGCACCAAGCAAGAGCCACTAAGTCCTACAATGTGACTCGCTTTAAAGGAAGAAAGGAACTAAGTGGATGTAACTTGTTCATTGGAAGTTGGGTGATTGACCCTTCACATCCTCTTTATGAATCTTCAACCTGCCCCTTCATTGATGCTGAGTTTGATTGCCAAAAGTATGGGAGACCCGACAATCAGTATCTCAAATACTCTTGGAAGCCTGATTCATGTGCCTTGCCCAGGTAGTCTTTAGTGATCATCTTTATCAAACACATGCTTTATTATGATACAATATCTTCGATTTTTTAGATCAAACACTAATTATGTTCCTAGTATTATTTTTTTTTTATGGTATTGAGAGATTTCTTGTCGTTTTGACTCTAACTGATATATCTGGTAAACAACTTCACTTAATATCTTACAAATGTTATTGGAGGAAAGTGTTGTGAAGTTTCAGATTATCTATCTCAATTCTCTAAAAGACAACTTATATATGTGATTGACAATACCTTATTTAATATCAAGTAGTTTGGTTTAAGATAGAATTTAACAATGAACCAGAAGGTAGCATAGATCGAACATGAAATTATTGATGTTTGAAATTACAAACAATATGACAATATTGTGTTATTGTTTATTGTGAAACATGTTTTAATGAGTCTCTTTAAGAATTAACAAGAGTTTATTGTGCAATTAGTATAGTAATGGATGTGAGTGTAATTTTTGTGTGGAAGGTTGGATGGAGTGGATTTCTTGAACAGGTGGAGGGGTAAGAAGATAATGTTTGTGGGTGACTCGTTGAGTCTGAACATGTGGGAATCATTGTCCTGCATTCTTCACGCGTCGGTGCCAAATGCTGCCACCAGCTTTGTGAGGAGAGAAGCACTGTCTACTGTGACCTTCCAGGTTTGTTTTTCTTTTATTTTGTTCTCTTTGTCTCCTTTCGGATTTAATACACAAACCACTCCTAGATATACAACATTCTCCTATTGTTTGTTTCTCCATTCTATTATTAAATGTTTTTGTTAAACATCTTCACTGAGTGTAACATCTAGTCAGAGAAAGAGAAAATGCCACTTTACTGGTTAAAGAGAGAAGTGTGTATCTTAGGAAATAGGAAAATAATTGATGGACACTCAATAATAAAAAAAAGAGATAAAGAACCAAATATATATTTAATAGCTAATATGATATATCAGATAGAGGAATAATAATAAAATAAAAGTTATATAAAGTATAATACTGGTAAATTGTAACATAGATTTTGACAGGAAATATTAAGTGGGAGCCAAGTAAATTTATTAAGCTTTAATAAATAACCTTGTGTCTTTAAAAAATAAAATAAAAATCAAACAGTAATGAGTAAAGTGGACTAAAGTCTAGAAAGATAATCAGAAATTAAATTATATATATATAAGTAAAGCAGTGCCCTCTAAAAGAGAAAAAAGAAAAAAGAAGTCAGAGAAAACAACTCACTTAAATTGAATAATGATAATGTCATGCATAAAAGGAAAATTCAAAATGTGGGCTGGCAAAATACGAGTAATCATTTGATAAAATATAATTCTACGTAAAATGATGTATGCTTGAATAGATGTGGAAACAGTTAGAGTGTGTTGGATAAAGGAATTTTTTTTTTTAAAAAATAGAGTGAAGAAAAATAGATAAGAAAAATCGGTAAGAAATGGATTGAAAATTTAGGTGTTTGATTGAAGAAAAATATGTGATAAATAATATTATTTATGTTTAATAAAATAGAAAGAAATAAGTGAGAAATAAAGTATATAAAAAGTAGAAGAGAAAAATAAATAAATCGAGTAAAAATAAGTATAAAAAAAAAAGAAATAGAAAATAAAAAATATTTTTAAAATGATTATTTATTTTAATCAATTAAATAAAGATAATATAACTAAATAAATAATATTTTGAAATAAAATAAATAAATAATTCTAAAGTAAAATTAAATTAGATTAAAAATTATAAATTAAGTAAATAAATTTAAAGTATATATACAATTAATATAAAAAAATTAATCTTTCAATTGAATAAAAACTGTGTAATCAATTGAAACTTTCGAAAATAAACATAATTAAATAAAATTTTAATTAAATCGATTAAATGAAACATTTTTACAATCTTAGTATAGAAAAACAATTTAATCAATCAGAAATGGATACAAATTTCTGTGGTTTGAAACGAGCTTTAATTTTAACTTGTCATCAATTTGGTACCTCTTGTTCCTATTTCTTGGATGTTACTTTGGAACAAACACGGTGTTAATTTACGTATGATCAGATTAAGCCAGAAAACAGAGGTCCCAACTCCCAATCCTCAGTTCCTTTCTTGTTTTCCATTAAGATACACTTGACAGGCTGTGAGGTGCTTGCCAACCTGTGACTACAACTTGCAACTTCTCTTGCAATTATTCGCCTTCATTATTTCACACTTTTACTTTAATCAACATCGATCGCATAACATCTCATTTATTACATCATAATTAAACTTATTTATGCCAACTTAAAAATAAAACAAACTTGTGTGGACAAGTTACTATTTCGCACGTGAATATTTTATGCATTCACATTTCTTTTTTTGTAATGATTGTGTTGAGCCTCGTGAATACAAGTCCAACTTGTCTTGTTTTCTAAAAGAAATATGATTGAATTTGAAACTTAATCTCAACCACCCAAAATCTGATACTGCTGTGGTTGTTGGTAGGACTATGCACTAACCATAACACTCTATCGCACACCCTATTTGGTAGACATAAATCGAGAAGAAGCTGGGCGAGTGCTCACACTAGACTCCATACAAGCTGGTAATGCTTGGATTGGCATGGACATGTTGATCTTCAATTCCTGGCATTGGTGGACCCACACTGGAAATTCTCAAGGGTATTATGCTTTCTTGTACATTAACAATGCTAATTATATCTAGTACAAAGATTTGTTGGTATTCATTGTCTAGAATTAAAGTTTTACCTTGATAGCATAGAATATTATATTATAGATACTACAAGGTAAAATCTCAACGAATAACACCAACTATACTATGTTTTGACCTTATATGAACTATAGAAGTGAATGTATCTGTACATAACAGAAAAAGGTTGTGTTTTTGTTAGGATTTCTGATTAGCTTGGTTACCACTTCATTGGTTCATTCGTTTTATTTTATTCTCGAACTTGATGGTTGTCCATGTTTGCTATATTCAGATGGGATTACATAAGAGATGGTCCCAATCTGCTGAAGGACATGGACCGTTTTGAGGCCTTTTATAAAGGGATGACCACATGGGCTCGATGGGTTGATCAAAATGTTGACCCTACCAAAACTAAAGTTTTCTTTCAAGGCATTTCTCCTACTCATTATCAGTAAGTAATTCTTATTGACCCAATTCTTTACTGTTTGGATAAAGTTTAGAAGAGGTTTTTAAAAATTATTTTTCTACTAAAAATAAAGAGTTTTTTCTGGTAAAGAAATTCTCAAAAACTTTACTAAACTTGTATTTAAACAGACTCAGAATCAATAGCTAAAACTTTTAACATTTTCAAAATTGTCATTAACTGAAATGTATTTTATGATTCAGAGGTCAGGAGTGGAATCAGCCAAGAAAGAGTTGTAGTGGAGAACTTGAACCATTAGCTGGGTCAACATACCCAGCAGGTTTACCTCCTGCAGCAAACATAGTGAACAAAGTGTTAAAGAACATGAAGAATAAAGTTTATCTACTTGACATAACACTTCTCTCACAACTGCGAAAAGATGCACATCCTTCTGTCTATAGCGGGGAACATGCGGGTAATGACTGCAGTCACTGGTGCCTTCCAGGACTACCTGATACTTGGAACGAACTCCTAAATGCAGCTCTTATAATGTGAAATTGTGAACTTCTAGTGAAGGGTTGAATTCAATTGTATTATAGGACTCTTGAAGAATAGTTATAACAGAGCTCCAAAGCAAGTTAGTCAGGGATATCAAATTGTTACACATGTCATGAAAATGAAAATTTACTTTACAAGGGGATACTAATGTTTATTGGATGATAAATTGCGATTGAACTTTACCAACGATTGATTTGATGCACACTTCCTGTCTTTGTGAAGTGTTTAATAAATCTTATTTAGTGAAAGTGTTTTGTAATGTATAGTATAATAATTTAGTATGTTCGAGTCTTGAGTCGTGGATGGATAAAAAAAGTTTGCAACGAGAGACTCCATTACATATATACTGTCAAACTTTTCAACAGAAATTTGTTATCGATAAAGCTCTGAATACTCGACACTAATGACATGGTTAAAAAAAATTGAGAATATTTTGTTACCATCAGTTGTAAGTTGTGAAGCAGAGGATGGCAGAAACTTTACTGCAGGAATATGTTTCATCTTTGTGAGGGACCTTGGGAGATTGGTGATGGTGCCCCCATGTGAGTTCAGCAGTAATATTGAGGTTAGTCTCATGCTCGAGAATATTAGCCATTACTTTTGCATGCCAAATGGATTAGTTCTTATTGTTTATCAGGTACTTGATGCGTTTTATAATTACACACTTAAAGGACAAGTGTATCCTATAACTAAATTATTAATTGTAATATTATGATTTCGAAGAAATTTTATATATTCTATAAGCAAATTAATTAAGTGATTTGGATATGAGAATCGAAAGTTAAAAAAAAAAACTTGTAAAAAAAAATTGATTTTTAAATGATTAAAATAACTTATTGTCATGGTTTACATATGTCTTCGATCACTCTATTCTATCCCTGATTTAATTGAAAATTCTATAACATTATTAATTGTCAAAAATTTCCTCAATTGTCCACAATTATTGTTCATGAATTACAAATGTCTTTTATGAGATTGAATTAATTGTTCATGTAGGAACGTGTTTGGATAAAATTAATTCTATAACAACCTAAATCGAGTTAATTATTCAAATTCAATTAGGAATGTGTTTGGATAAATTCCTTTAAAAGTATTTTTAAGAGAAAAAAAATTTAATTTTTTTTAATTAGAACTAACTAATGTATAAATTAAAAATAAATTATTAGAAAAACTAATATAAGAAAGATTCTACAAATTAAAAGTTATATAATAAGCTAATTTTAACTTTTCATCCTTTTTACTAAAAATACTCTTAAAAGAAATTTATCTAACGTGCTCCAGTTAATGGCATATGAGTAAAGAAACTTAAACCACTAGATCGATCTAGTGTCTAATGAGAGAGTTAAAATAATATAGATTAAAAAGTGATATGACCATTGTAATTAGGGATGACAAAACGGGCTAGCTTGGTCCATTTTGGCTTGACTCATTAATGGCCTGTCAAAAATGGGTTGGATCCGGTCAATCTACCATTAAAAACGGGTTGAAAATATTAGTCTACTCTGCCTAAATGTAATCTAATAAACCGACAGACTAACCCACATTACATTAAAAAATATTAAAAAAAATGTAAAAAAGTTGTGGACGAGTTGGTGGGCTTAGCAGGATAAACTTTGGGCAGATGATAAACACACCTCCACTCTCGTATAAATACACCCCTTTTTAAAAAAAATATAAAATATCTAAATTACCCTTTTAAAAAAAATGAAATTCCTAAATTTACACCTCCCTTCCCCACACCCCCTTCCCCGCACAGAACGGCACCAGAACGACACCAGAACAGGCCGTTCTACAAGTAGAACGGCCCGTTCTGATTGCAGAACGCTCCGTACTGCTTGTAGAATGCCCCATATTGCTTGCAGCACGGCCTGTTCTGCAAGCAGTACAGTCCGTTCTGCTTGTAGTACAGGCCGTTTTGCTTGCAGTACGGGCCGTACTGAAAGCAGTATAGGCCGTTCTGCTTGAAGAACGGGCCGTTCTGGGGCCTTTTTGTTGCAGTTCAGGCCACCACGTCACTTTTAAAATGGCTACCTTATGACTGATTTCAAAACTCCGATTTTAAAAGTCATTTTTGTACTAGTGTGTCTTTCCATAGAACAAGTAAGAGTCTTTCTCTTACAAGACCACCTGCTGACATTGCGCACCCCTCTTCTTTCTCTTTCTGGACTCCTCTTCTCTTTTTTTTCCCGCACCTCGCACACCCCTCTTCTTTCTCTTTCTGACACTCATCTTCTTCTTCTTCTTACTGTTACGGAAAGTTCTTTCCGGAATTATATAAAAATGTTCCGGAAAATACTTTCCATAATATTAAATTCTTATTCCGGAAAGTATTTTCCGGAAATGTTTTGTTACATAATTACGGAAAGTACTTTCCATAATATTAAAGTTACTATTACAAAAAGTTCTTTCCAGAATTATATGAACAATAATTTTACTATTCCGGAAAGTACTTTCCGGAATGCTAATGACGGTAAAAGTACTTTCCGGAATGCTAATGACTATAAAAGAACCTTTCTTATGCTGGTTATGGTGGGACTAGTCCTTTTTTTCTATTTAGAATGATTGTAAAAGTATATTGCTTAATGACAGGTTGATAGATTGAAATGAAATGATAGGTCCAATTCATCAATTTTTGACGGGCTAACAAACTGACCTGTAAGTCATGACCCATTTTTTTTTTTTGTAAAGATAAGAAAGATTACAAAGATGATTGCAATGAGGATTAAACCTAGGTCTTCATGCTTCTAATTACCCTAGTCCCTCCCCACTCAACAACTAGACTAACTCTAGTTGTCGGTCATGACCCATTTTGTCACACTCCTAATTGTAGAAGGATAAAAAAAATGTAAAGAAGGTTTGACAGGTAACAAATAAAGTCTCGCGATTCTGCGATAGGTGATTATTACAAACCAAACAGTGAACAAAACCGTATATAAGTTACAAAAGTACGTTCATGCCGAAACAAAAACAATGAAAGGAGAATACAGCTACGTATTAATTAAATACATAAAAGTTGAAATGCAAATACTTCTCATTGTAGCTTTACTGAAGCACCAACCCATACAAAGATTCCTGCAAATCATTTAATTACGACATATTCACCAACGTTAATTAATTAATGAAGTAAACTTATTTTCCAACTTACATTTGCATGATGTGTCCTTAGTTCTGATTTGAAGTAAAATTACCAAGATAATTAACTTTGTGTCACAATGAGTAAAATTTGGAAGTGAAAGTAATTACCATAATGAGGGAAACTATACGAAAAACCTAGTAACCAACATATACAGCAGCATTAACAACGTAGCAATCATCGTTCTTTTCAGCCATTTCTTCAGTTGAGCACACGAGTCCACCATCTACTACTTCAAAGTTCATAATTTGCCCACTGAAATTATATATATTTAAACAATGTTGTTGTATCTCAAATGGAAAATGAATTTGGAAAACATAAATATTATTTATATGAAGAGGTGCTTTTACTCACTATGGAAACACGGTCTTAACTTTATCCATATCCAAGTTTTGTTGTAGAGGATGAGGCACCCCAAGTTTGACATGTAATTTCATGTGATCAGATGTAACACCAGGGATGCTACCTGCACCAAATTTATTTTTGTTGGACTTCACATGTCCTTTCAATTCAATAGGAAATTAATGAATTACATCACAATTTTCTTTTTCTTTTCCCCTTCTCCCTTTGATTTTCTCTCTTTGATTTTCATTTGTATAAAATAATTATATTAAACAATTGTATAACTGGAAATTGCATCTCCATCACTTTTCTTTCCTTTATTTAAATAATAACTGTAATAAATGAGAATGAAATTGAAGACTTTTGAAAGTCAAAGAATAATGCTTTTTAATTCTAATCTGTTGATAGATATAAATATATGTTTTATTGGTTCCGTGTAAAGATCATGTAAAAGATTATATTGGAACAAAACATAAAAGATAATTAACTTCATTGATAAGAAAAAGAATTGAGTTAATTACGTTTTTTTATCTATACATTAATTGTACGATTTTAATACTTCAACTATCACAATTATATAATTTTAATTATTTAAATTAAATATATTATAGTTTTCATTCATTATTAAATAATATATATTTATTATCATTAAAATTATTAATATATATATAACTTAAATAAATAAAAATTTATATAATTTTAATGTTTGAGAGACTAAAATCATATAATTGTTATATATTTTAGAGCAAAAAATACTCAATTAAATATTAAAGAGTTAGAATTATACAAAATTGTGATAATTGAAAAAACTAAAAATTGTTTAATTAAAACCATCAGAATTACCTTTACGGAAAGCAGGAATTGAATTGGTAGCAATTGCATCTCTGCATGCTCTCATTGCAGCAGCTGTTATGTCCTGACTGTTAAGAACAACATAATTTGAATAAAATATTGTCAAGTGACCAAAAGAAAGAATGTTAGAATAGCTATCAAATAGGTGAGGCAAAAATAATATTAAAATTCATTACTATGCAGAGAGTGTAGAGCAGCAATTTTTACATAAAAAATAGGAATTAATTAAATTCTCATATTTATTTATATTTTATTAAAAATGATTAATTAGTAAGAAATTTTGGTGTGCACTTTTACTCAGTTAACTTGATGCCCTAGAAGAGTCAAATAATAAAACAGAATACCCATGAAGGTCATAGCCAACACCCATCTCAACGAACAAAAGCTTCATATCTTGTAATGAGTTTCCCTTTTGTCCACCTTCCATTAATTAGATCAGAGGTGATGTATATTTGTTCTACGACTGAAGAGTGATTTTGGTGATGAAACACAACTCTCTCAGAATTGTTGTTTATAGACTCAGAAACACAACTCTATTAGCAATGGATGAGACAGCTCATAGCTCCTCGTGTGTCTTTGTTGATGAGCCAAATCAACATATTAAAATGATACGTGTATCATAATCAAAGAATATGGTCAAATGTTGAACACGTAGTGATGAATTGGATAAATTCTAACTTGAATGATAATAAATAGATTTAAAATAAAATTTTTAATTTATTTATTTAAATATTTTTGTGAATGTATGTTTAATTCATTAATGTATGTTCAATTATCTCATTCTTCAAAAGTTGATTTTAGTTTATATATATAAAAACTTAATTTTTTTTCCTATACGTGTTTATTAAAAATTTTATGCAAATCAGACCTTAATTTTTTTTTACTATTAATCTTTTCTAATGTATTCTCTTTATCCCTAAAATAAATTTTAAAATTTTGTAAAATATTACTAGTTAATAATGATAGTATTATATTACAATTTAAACTAATTTTTATAATTTAAAATATATATTTATTATAATTTTTTTTTTAATTATATATAAAAATAAATATCTTTCTTTGATAGTTATCCTTGGATTATAAGAAGGTGCTTGCAGCTAAGAAGTGCTTCGTTCTGTATGCGCCACGTCATCATTAAAGTACGCCACGTGTATGAAAATGCAACACGTCATTGTATCACTTTCAGCTGGTGAGGAGGTTCATGGAATTGGATCTAAGTCCTTAAAACTAAGATTAAAATAAGTAATTTTAATTGTTGATAATATTTAGTATAATTATAATTTATCAGCTATATCTTAAGCAACATAAATTATTAATTTTCTTATTAATATATAATTTATATTTGACTTAAATATGTTTTTAGTCCCTCAAATTTAAGATAAATTTGTTTTTTGTCCTCAAACTTAAAATTGTTATTTTTAGTCTCTGTAATTTTCAAAAATCTTATTTTAGTCCCTTAGGTCACTAATAACATATTTGAAAGTGACTAATTAATACAGTTATACGCAATATCAACCGGATTTAATGTGATCTTTTCATTGATAGGGATACTAATAGATAGATTTTATGTAATAATTTTTTATAAATTTCTTAACAAAATTTGAATATAAGGACTTGTTGAGTGCATTTTTAGGCTTGTTTTGCACTCAACTTTTTTAATTTTTCTTCAATTTGAAGTTCAGGTAGCATACGAAATTTTTTTAAAATATTTGAAACGATTTTTATGCTCCTTTATTTAATTAAACATAAACTAAATACTTAAACAAAAATTCCAATATGATTAAATATTTTTTTTAAATATAGGGAAAATTAAGATAATGAAAAATAAAATGAAACTTTAAATTAAAGTGATATTTAAAAAAGAAATATTAAATTGTATTAAAATATTTCATTTTACAAATTTATTGCGAAAAAAAGAGATCTTAATCAACAATTAACTAAACACACACACATATTAGTATATTACATAATATCTTTGCTTACTTATATTTTTCATTTATAATAATGTTATTATGAAAGTGATTATTTTAGACATCATAAATGAATTAAGATTACTTTTTACTTAATATATCTAAATAAAAATTATTTTTATAATTGTATACAATAGTATTTAATTATAAATATATTAATTATAAATATTGAAATAATTTTTATTCATAGATAATTTAAACACATACCAATATCATCCAATTTAGAAAAAGTAAGAAAAAATTTGTTTTTGACAAAGTTATCTTATAATACACTACTAGAATTTCTTTTATTACATACGATTTTTTCTGCAAATTTTTCGTAAAAATTCGCAAGAAACGTTGTTTCTACAAATTTTTCTGTGAAATTTTATATGCAGGTAATACCTTCGTGGATAATATGTTTTTACAAATTTTAAAATTCGTAAGAAATTTTTCTACAAAATTTCTTGTGAAAAAAATTTGCAGGAAAAGTTTCTTGCAAAAAAAATTTGCAGGAAAGTTTCCTGCAAATTTTTTCGCAAGAAATTTTTCATCCACGCCTCCAACATGTGATACATAATTTTTTAAATTCTAAGATTATAAATTATAAGCTTAACACTCAACCATACAAATCAACTTGTAAGGTAAGTGTTGTCCTAACTTATATACTTTTTAATTGTTTTCTTTTCAATTGACGTGGGACTTGAAGTTTTTTAAAAATATTAAACTTATAAATTTAAATATTTTTTTTAATTTTTCCTGCGGATTAAAATTGACAGGAAAATCTGCAGGGAAAGTTACCTGCAAAATTTTTCTACCATTTAGTAAACATTACTTGCGAATTTATTTTTGCAAGAAAATTTGCAAGAAATAAAATAAAATTCTTACAATATTTTCTGCTAATTTTTACCATGAAATTTTTTTTTATGATCATTAAAATTGTAGCAAAATTTGCAAAAATTTCTTGTAGATTATTTTTCATAAAACAAATTTTTAAGAAATATCTGTAAATTATTTTTTGCAAATAAATTCTTAAAAAAAATTTGTAAAATTATTATTACAAGAAAATTCGCAAAAAGTTTTTACGAATATTTTTTTCAGAAAAATTCGTAAGAAAATAACATTTTTCTAGTAATGATAATTGTAATATTTATGTTATATGTGTTATTATTAAACACTATTAGCCCAATAGTTGATAACATCCAGGCCCAAGAGAAACGTAGCAAGTTGTGATGATTTCATCCATTGATATTTAGATTTTATGTTAGATAACGATTTGTTTTTGAAAAAGTTATCTTACAATAATAGTAATTAGGCAGATGATAAACACACCTCCACCCTCGTATAAACACACCTCCTTTTTAAAAAAATATATATAAAATGTCTAAATTACCCTTAAAAAAAATAAAATTCTTAAATTTACACCTCCCTTCCCTGCGCTCCGTTCCCGCACCCCACACCCCCCGTTCTCCCGCACCCCAGGCCACCGTAGAGAAACTGGAGCATGAGG